GCAGTCTCTAATGTGATCTATAATTGTCGTAACATCAAACTCATTACGGACAATCCAACACTAATGGAAAGTGAGGATTATTTCTTCGCGTAGAATCAAAAAGCTTTTCTTGAAGATGCCAGTTTCTTCCAGCTCTGAACCACAGTGGATTCTTCGCGTTCTTATTTACAGAGTCCTTTTCTTTGCCTTTCTATAGACTAATGAGATGTAGTAACTTATTACTACGTTTTTTCTTCAAAGTTGACACCTTCTTTATTTCCTAGAGGCGGACTTAAACGACTTTCGTATGTGTCAAAATTCTTCCTAAACAAACAGAGGAGTTCTTTCACATAACCATTCGACCCATCATTCACAGCCATTAAATGGCGAAGATTTTATTGGTAATATTTTTGAACTTTACCCAGATACCACATGTACCACAGTGTGGATTCCGGCACCTCTTACTTTCAACACCTTTGCTCCTCTCTATTAGCCACAAAGGTCTTTCAAACTTTTTCGCCTCTTCTGCGATACTGCTTAAGGATTTCCATCTTGTTTTTTTTAAGTGTTGACCGATTCTACTCTCCTTAGAACCATGAGATAGCCCTGTTAGGGCTTGGATTTGAGGTTGTGAGTTTTTTCCAGATAACTCTGCTATCAATTTTGCGATTCTGGAATGTCGACTTGGTGAGCCTGAATGGGGTCGGATTGGTGTTTTGGCACTTTCGGTCGCCCGCTTAATGAACAGAACCACAACCACTGCGCTACTCACTCTTTGTTCCCAATATTAATAATATTTCGATTTCTACTTCTACATCGTCCTTGAGCGACAGGTTTTTTTTATTCCTACTTTCGTTCCTGATTTTCGCTGCTGAGATATTTGCAAAACTCCGGACCGCAGGTATCTGCTGTAGGGAACGAACGCGCTATTGTCCTTTCAGCTTAACTGGGTTCAATGCCGATTTGGGCTCCCCACATCAATCCCGTTGACGGATGATTGCTGATGGCGAAAGATCGATAGAACCAGTTGAGGGACAGGCGAAACGAAGGACCCGGATGGTGTGGTGGTGAACGCGTTACCCCCCGGAAAGAACAATAACACGTTCGTTCCACATTGCAAACACCTGCGGTCTGGAGTTTTGCAAATATCTCAGCATTATAGAACGAACCGAATTCGATGGCTCTCTGATTGCATTGACCACCTGGTAAGTGCACCTTGGGCGGTCAATGAACATGGAAAACCACATGAAAGAGGAACAAGGCAGAGGAAGCAGAGCAGCTTCGAGCGAATTTAACCTCTCAAAGAAGCGACCAACTTGCCAAGGACCCAAAAATCAGCGCTTACCTTCTCGACTAAACAGTCCATCCAGCGCTCTGTTATGCACTAGAGACGTAGGTTGATACCTGAACCATGCCAAAAGTACTAACCACTACTCACACAGCGCTTGGATAATGTGTTCTAAAATATAACCAGCACACCCAACATTTAGCTGGAATGCGAAACTCTGATCTGCGGGATCACGTCTTCGAGATCCAGGAGAACAGACATCGATAGCGAAACATAAATGGGTCGGTCACATAAGAAGAACGAACGACAGCTGGACTAAACTCCACTCTGCAGAGTGACTCTGATGGACGTATTCGTAAACATCGTAAACAAAGTTAGTCAGCTGTACAGGCAGCTCCAGTTATTTTACTTGAGCCAGTGCTGTTATCCTCTCAGAGAAGTCTGGTACCAAATTGCCGACGTCGGAGGGATAGAAGACTTGGTGAGCCACGAGAGCAGGGATTGATCCTATGTGTATGTAACACGGGGCGTCTTCGACTACTAAGCCACACGCGCATGTCTATATCTCGATGGAATGCGCCATCATGCTTGAATAAAACCACTACCATAGACGACGAGTAGGAGGGAAGAAAATGAATGGTAAATGTGCTGGACTACGCACGACTCGTGAAGAGAGACCGGCCTAGTAACCAAGTAAATATTGTTATCGTTAATAACAATAACTACAACTATAAATAGTAGCGATTGTTGTTACTAAAATGATGCTGATGTATTTTCAAAACTACGGACCGCAGGAGTCTGCTGTGGTACCGAACGCGCTATCATCTTTCCGGGCCTAATGTGTTTACCACCACACCATGCGGGCCCTTCCTTTCGCCTCCCTCTCAGCTAGTTCTATCGAGAATTGCTGATGGCACTGACAAATCCGGCCCCGGCTTGGTAAAGATGTCAATGTTTTGCATTTCACAGACGTTGAAGTTGATAAAATAAGAAGTTCGCTGGATCCGCACAAAGATAACGAATTAGTCCGACTCAGGAAAATTTTTATTTGGTTGGTGTTCATCTTTACATTGAAGTCGGTGGGGATAATCGAAAGCATCGAATTTTTCTTGCTCACTCGGTTTTTGATGAATACACAGGTGATCACCACGATTATTCAACATTAAAGTTGGCACATTTCCAAGATTTGGATCTTAGGAAAATTGGGACTACGAGGGTCCTCTCAACTAACTCGATAACTAGGTGGAGGAGAGGTAATGGATGTGCATTGTAGGACACTTGAGTGTCAAGTAATAAAACTTTTGTTTAATTTTACACATAGGATTTAGCGAATCTTTTTTTCAAATGGAAGCCCTTCCTGCAGAACTTCATCAGTTCCAGTATTTTCCACCCGATAAACGATACTGTTCGCCTTATACAACACATGTCTGTAGTTTAAAACTTCACAACTTGAAAATCATAGATTAACTTACGCTGGACTGTAGTGGCAGACAACGAGTCCCATTTGAGGACACCTAGCCACAGCACATCCTAATCGGACGCTATCGCTCCAAGCCATCTAAACCCATCGCAAGTTTGGTAATGTTTATTACCACGAAAGGTATAATATTACACTTTAAAAAATGACACTGGAGCCAAGATTCCTGATGGCATTCGCATGCGAGTAACGAATGCTTTTACAATTAAAAGTTTACGTCACCTTTGCATTCATTTTGACCAGATTTTGACTCCTTTCACAATCATCTTCATAAAAAAGGTAAAGGAAAGAAAAAGCTTAAAACATTGGTGATTAAAGCAAAAGATACGCAAGTGTTGAACTTTCGGCAGAATTCAAACAGTTCAACGTGAGAGAAGCATTAGAAATTGATCTGATCTTTGTGAAGATCGCCTTATTTGGCTTTAATCGTAGACCGATCCTTTAATGCGCGCCATGAGAATTACAAGGCATTCAGTCAGCCCAGCGAACACCTGGTGTTATGACAACGATGTCAAATATTGTGTGTTTTTCTGTCTTGTGCTAGTTGGGCGACACATCTACCGCTAGTATAGCATGACTTTGGTCGAATGATTGGAACGAGCAACAGTAATTTCGCTACTTGTCTCTGCCGGCTGAGGAAGTTCTATCAAATAGCTCAGTAAGTTCTGAGTGGTGTAGAGGCTCCAAGTCTATCATATTTATCTTCTAGAATCTTCGATAAAACGTATTACAATCGGGTCTATAATTTGCCTCACGCTCGATATCCCATGACTAATGGCGTTAATGGCTTTTGTCCATTGATTGCTAGTAAATGATTTCCAATACTCGGACTATATGCAAGTGCTTCTTATATCAGATGGCCTGGGCAGATTATAGTTTCAGAACCAATCTTTCTTTCGTGTAGTACGAGATATTTTTAGAGTCACACTCTCAGTTGCGCGTTTAATAACACTGACTGGTTTTTCATCCTATTAAGGAGAGGTTTGGGTTCCAAAGCAAATCTTAAGATAGGTAAATCCGTTAAGAGAAATAAGGTGCGCCATATCGCCTCCCAACGGTTTGCTGCCTCATCATGGCTAAGTGTTAGTGGGGGCAGGCTGCTATGTAGAGCGGGGATTCATCTTCCTGGCAGGGTCTCCCTAGCTGAGAAGGAGCCCGACGTTTCCATTAGGAAGTCTAGTTAAGAGTAAACTAATACAAGGATCTACCACTGTCTTGGTATCAAAGTCGCATGGTGGCAAATCTTCCTCTGATCCACAAGGACTGCGACTGCCTGTGCTGGTGAAGACCTGGAGCAAGCTTTGGCCAGGTTGACCTCGGGATTGCAGAGAATCACAATGGCTCAACCAGCAGATTTTCGAAAAATGGAGAATATGCGGGGACGGGCACAACTGGTGAGGACGGGCCGTTCAAGTATCAGGTAAGTAAGCATCTTCTCACAAATAAGGCGGATAAGACGGTGATAGTGATGTCCGTCATCACGAGCATGATTCTAGTTTTATTCCACTTTGGACCAACCAAGCCTCTCATCCCTCCGGGGTCGGGAAAGTGGCACCGGACTTGTCCGGAAAAAAAATCACTCTCTGCAACCCATTTGGGAAACCCTCCAACCCGGCCATCTCAGGAGTCCAGGAAGAATTGCTCGACCAGCATACTACGACATTAAAGATTAAATGAAAATCCTCAAGCAGCAACCGAAGCCACACGTGAAAAGTTACAGGATCTCCGTGGATAATGAATGCGAGGAAACGAATCGAGTGTGAGAAGTGCTGGGATCCGCGCAGTAGACGTGAAGGCGTGTCATGCAAAAATTAAAAAAGTCCTTCTTGCGAACTAATCTCACTTGTTCATTTCCTATTTCATTTTCATTTTTCATTTTTTCATTTCATTTCCATTTCCTGTTCCTTTCATTTAATTTCCTTGGATCATTTAAGCAATATAGCCTACCAATAATTTTCGTATTGTTTTCAGTTCAGATAATTATGCGAAACCAACATTGTTGTATTTCAACACCTTATAAAACGCTTTTTCAACCAACATTGTAGAATGTGATTTTGATAACCGAAAAGATCCTTCCTCGTAAGGTCCTGCACTTGATCCTACGGTTTAAGTAGTATCCTATTCGTTGCCAAACCATCGGCTTGAGATTCTAGGGAACATAGATCTCTATTTAGGATATGACGGCATTGCAAGCCTTGTTATTCTTTCGCTTGACTGTGCAGGATAGTTGCCATTTAGTACTACAAACTAAATTGATTACGGAATTCTTAAGCAGTAATAACGTAATGTGGTAACAACCTGAGTGAAGTGCCCAATGCGGTTGCCTTTTCTTGTCCACACATCCTTGGTGAGCATTCCATCAGCTGGTATACCATATTCCTCTAACTCTTTCCACCACAACTCTATAGCCTATTAATTAACACAGTTTATATCGTATGCAAAAACACCAAACGAACTCAAATCGATTTGAAATCTTTTGGATGCATCCGATGAACATCTAGATGCAGACAAACTAAGTTACGTAAGAATGTCGAAGCCTTAAATGTCATTATTGGAAAACTAGGTCTCATCTTGAACTTTGTTAACATTCCGTGCATACATTGAAGCACATATTCGAATACCTTCTTGGAGCACTAAGCTAACATCAGGTTGATAAAAAAAAGGTTCATTCGGCTAAAACTTCGACGTTTTCGTCTCCTTTTGAGCCGATAAATATTATGGACATATTTGAATGTTCTTTTCACGAACACCTCCCAACGGTTTACCGCCTCATCGTGACTGGGAGGTGTTCCTGGGTGTCGAACTGCGATGTACAGCGGGGATTCATTCCGTGGCAGGGTCTCACAAACTGAGAGTGAGACCGGCGTTTTCATCAGGAAGCCTAGCTAAGAGTAAATCAATACCAAGATCCACCACCATCCTGGTATCAAAGTCGCATGGTGGTAAATCTCCTTCTGATCTACAAGGGCTGCGACTGCCTGCGATGGTGAAGACCTAAGTCAGACTTTGACCAGGTTGACCTTGGGATTCCAGAGAACCGCGATGGCTTAACTAGCAAATCTCCGAAAAATGGCGGTTAAGTTGGGGCCCGCACAGTCAGTGAAGACGGTCCGTTCAAGTATCAAGTAGGTAAGCAAGTTTTCACCAACATGGACTTATTTGCTTGAATATTAAGTTATTTCTAATGAAGAAGCTAATTACGTACTGTATGGAGCATGGAATTCTGTTCAACGTTCGTGAAGCTGGTCATATACAAGTTTTGTCCTTGATTTGGACGCTCCTTTCTGTTGGAATGCTCGAATATGCAATTATCAGCCCAAATCTGAGCGTACCATTCCAGGTTGCAGTCGTACTCCTATAAATTCTCAATTCTTTTTATGGCCTCCTAGTTCTGACTTAAGTGTGGTGAAGTGCGGTGATTTAATGTAAAAGTAAGTTTTGCCACAATAATTCATTTCACAAGATGACAGCTGAACAACCTCTATATGAATATCCGTAAAGAGAAAAGTCTCATTTTCTTTTCCGTTGCTCATGAAGTATTAAAGTTGGAGATTTCAAAACGAGAGATTCTCAGGGCTAGTAATAACTAAAGTGGTTGACTGAACACCTCTTAGTTGTTACTAATGTGCTGTTTTCACTTTTTCACTTTTTATATGTGATCCTTAGATCACGTATGTGTGAAAGCTCGGTGAAAATAAGTAAAATGGCAGCATTCTAAATTCTAAATGAACCATTTTCATCAGTCCTGATGCACCCTCTTGAGTTGAGTTCGTTTCTCCGTTGAATTCCAATCCTCTTGCCAGTCTTGACCTATATATATATATAGAACACAAATCTTAGATTGTAACCGACTATTTCTCGACTGCTGGAGAGTAGCATTAATCTGCTGAGTATGCATATTTAAGGTGAACACGTGCCTGTAGAAATTGTGTTGATCCAGAGCAAGGATTCTGGACTCATCAGTCAGCGTCGTATTTAGTCGAGTACACATGTTATTCGTTTTCTGGCCTGAACAACTTACGTCATATGCTTACACTACACACTATAAGATTAAAACACTCTATTTAATATTTCGAAACCGACTTTCTCTAAACCTCGGTGTGACTAATCAATATGTATTCTTTCTTGATAAGCTTGCACGAGGTTAATAAATATATTTATTTTCGGCTAACGTTTCGACGTCTTCGTCTTCCTCAGAGCCGATGATCCGAGTCGATGGTCCATGATT